GAGTGATCTACTTGTAATTCCTACCTAGCTTAGCTAGAAGCATTGTGTAGGAAACCATTTATAAAATTATAAACCTTGTGTTTGTGCCTTGGCTAGAGTTAGTCGAGTTGTGAGCTTTGTAATAGAGTTATTACAAAGAGGCTTGTAATAGAGTTATTACAAGTAAGTGAGGGATTAAGAGCTTAATTCCTAGGTTACAATAGTTTGTAATCTGAAGTTTGCTCAGTTAGTGAAGTTGAAATCCTATGAGTGTAGGTCGTGATTTTTAATCTCGTGAGCTGGGAGTTTTTCATGTAAACCTTGTTGTGTCATTACTTATCTTTTATTGTGTGTGTTCTGTAGGAACTGATAGAGAATTAGGTTCTCTATACAGTTTGGTAGACCTTAAGTTTTCATTAGTACTATTTTGGTATTTACACCATTTTGGTGTAAAAAAAAAGGTGCAAGGGTTGGATGCCCTTAGTGGCAAAGATATCTAGCTTTCTTGAATTGGTTGTTTTACACAAAATCAATTGGAAATAACTAATAATTGCATAAAGTGTAGTAGGATTTGGGGAAGTCACTATCCTAATTTTTGTCAACCAAATAGCTTAATGGATGTTGCTATTTTAAATTCTCTTTCAGCTTTTCATCATCTAATTGTTGAAGGTAGGATAACAATTGAATAAGTACTGTAACAATTTTCATACATTAGCTTGTTGTGGACGTGCAACATAATTGTATATCTTTTTGCAGGGAGAATTTTGACGTGGCAGACTATTGTTGTTTACAAGTCCGCAAAGACTATTTTCCTTAATTTCTTTTTAATCTAAAGACGACTTTTTCCTTTAAATTCAAGATAAGGAAAATGGAAATGGAAGGGAGGGCGAAGAAGAATTGGAAGATTGGTAAAGATGAGTAAATAAATGGCATTGAATTTGGACACGCAACATAAGTACGAATATATTTTTTAAATTATTGTGATCCGGATCAGTTTAATAGGCTTGAAGATAAGAATAAATCACCTAATATTCTTTGTTTTCATTGCAATTTGAACCTGTGACCTCATGGTTCTCAGTCCATTTTATTGACCATTAGGCCACACCCTTGAGTGCACATATTACGAATAATTAAGTCAGAGTTTCCATAAATAATACGTATCTTAGTACTTACATATATTAAAGTTCAGTATTACTTAGCAAATAATAGACGCATCCATCACACCCGTACAACAAAATTGTTAAGCACCAATTGCGTGGCCAACTTGTAGCCCCGTTGCCTCGGCTTGAATACATCGTCAGAAAGAGAAACGAATGTGCAGATTATCGTCCCTAGAGATAGGGGTGTAAATGGATATTCGAAAACCGACTAAACCGACTGAATCGTACCGTATCGAACCGATTTTTAGGTTTCTTTTTAAGAAACCGTAGGTTTTTATATAAATCTATAACCGCACCGATGATTAGGGTAGGTTTTTTATTTTATAAAAATAAACCGAAAAATACCGAACCGTACCGAATAAATTTTACATGTGAAAAATATATTTATTTAGTAAGTTTAAAAATAATAATGCATTAAATTTTCTTCGGGCCTTGGAATTATGAAAACTATTACAAGCTAATAAGTAATTAAACTCAAAATACTAATTCCTAAAACCTATTATGTTACTTCTACTTACACTAAGTTATTTCAAGTATCTTTATTAGCAAGACACAAAGTATTCTAGCGATTATGAGTAGCAAACTACAATGTATTGTATATGTTTCCTTTCATATAATTTAGATTTATCTTTTTGAATATTTAATCTTCTATAGACTTTATTCTTGAGTCCTAACTTGGTATATCTTTCAACTCGTATGATTTATATTTTCTCTGCCTTTGTTTGATTTCTATTACGTTATTGTAGAATAGTTAATGGATCTATACTCTAGTCATCTTTCTTTTTTTTTCTTTTTTTTTAAGTTCATCACCCTTTAAACAGTAAAAATGTCTAGAGAGTTTTGCTAAGTCCTATAAAAGAACGTATGTTATTGCATCCTACTTCTACTGGTGAATTTTACATGATATTAAAAAAAAATATCGAAAATTAACCGAACCGTACTGATACCGAAGAGAAACTGACATGATTGGGACGGTTTCGAAAAGTCTAATTTTGGTTATACATAATAAAATAATCAAAAAATTAGTATGGTACAAATTTTATAAAATAACCGACCGAACCAAACTATTGACACCCCTACCTAGAGAGATGATTAAGGATTGGAAAATACAAGTACAACTTGGAGATTGCATATTTAAGTTGAGTTTTCAATACTTAATGTTAACTCCTCTAGTCCAATCTTCTTGTCATAGATTGTTTCATTAAATTACTCAAAATGCACTAAAAGTAATCCAAACACTACCGTTATGTTCATCTGAAAAGGAAACAACAGATGTGCAGATTATTTTAAAGTTTGTCTCATCACTTCTAAACTTGCATGATACAGATCTATATATTATTCAAAGGAGAGGACAAAGCCATCTTTTTAAACCAAGTGGCAACCTAAAAAAAAGCCACATAGCATAATTAGTTACTAGTTAGTTATTTAGTTTATGATTAGTTATTAGTTATTATTTTTGAATTTAAATATCTATAAAAAACGAAAATAATAAAAAATAAAAAACTACCATCTATATCTTTTATATATATATTAATTGATTACTTTATTTGAATTAATAAATATAGATATCTTATAATTAGTTATAATAAAAAAAACAAAAGTATAAATATATATAAAAATAACTACCCATGAAAAACTGGGTGGGAGTTGTTCCAAGTTGGAGTTTAAAAATTATTTTAAAATAGAAAACAAATTAGCTATAATAAAAAAAAAACAAAAAAAAACCCATTCAAACCGGAGAGTAGTTTCAAGTTGAAATTTTAAAGTAAAAAACGAAATTAGAAAAATAAAAATTACTAATTCATAGTGGGGAGTAGTTTCAAGTTGGATTTTTAAAATTATTTTAAAATAAAAAAACGAAAATAAAGCAATAAAAAAACTTTTGATTCAAATTCTGGAATAGTTTCTTTCTAATATTATATATATATATATAGTAAATAATTATATGATGCCAAGTGGTATAACCATAAGACAACAAGTGACAAAGCTCCAACAAAGTTGGAACTTTAAAATTATTTTATATTAAAAATCAAAATAAAAAAAAAGAAAAAATTGCTAATTCAAATCTATATCAATATATTATTAAAAGCCAAAGAAAAAGGCACCACATTAATTCAAGTTGTAACCTAGAAAAAATCCACATGGCATAATTAGTTAATAACAAAGAAATTATCTATTGAAAATTAACAAAGAAATTAACTACTCAAACATGGGTGAGGGTCGGTTTAGGTTAGTTAATTTCTTTATTTCATATTTTAAATTATTTTCGTTTTTATTTTTTGAAATAAAAAGTGTATTTATTCATTAAAATCCAACCAATATTATTGAGAAAAGTATAATAAAATTTAAAAAAAATTATATATTTTCAAGAGTAATATATATCTTCTATTATATTACAAAAAATTAGCAGACAAAAATATTAAACAAGTAATATGCTAATAATCTATCTATATATTATTAAAGCCAAAGAAAAATGCACCACATTAATCCAAGTGGTAGCCTAGAAAAAAGCCACATGGCATAATTAGTTAATGAAAAAAAATATTTATTGAAATTTAACAAAGAAATTAACTACTCAAACATGGGTGAGAATTGGTTTAGGTTAGTTAATTTCTTTATTTCATTTTTTAAAATCATTTTCGTTTTTCATTTTTGAAATAAAAAATATATTTATTCATTAAAATTCAACAATATTATTGAGATAAATATAATAAAACTTAAAATAAAAAAATATTTTCAAGAGTAATAAAATATATATATTCTTTTATATTACAAACAAATTAGCAGATAAAAATATTAAACAAGTAATATGCTAATAATTTCTATTAACAAAATAATTATATTAAACATTGGATAATATAATAAACAAAAATACATAACAAAAAAGTTATTTGATGACTCTATAAGTCCCTTTAATTTAATAGAGATTTTATTCATTAAAATTCAGACAATATCTATCTATTTATATAGAATAGGAGAAGCAAATCATTGTGATAATTCCAAATGTAACATCAAAAAAATTAACAAAGTGTCAAATTTTAGGACAAAGCTCCAACAAATTTGGAGATTCAAAAATTATTTACAAAAAAAAAATGATAAAAAAAAAAAAGCACAACGAAATTAACTACCTAAAATTAACTACTCAAACATGGGTGATATGATAAAGATAAATACATAAAAAAAGTTATTCGATGACTACATAAGTCCCTTTAGTTTAATCGGGAATTTGTTCGTTAAAATTCAGACAATATTATTGAGAATAATAGAATAAAACTTAAAATAAAAATTATTTCAAGAGTAATAAAATGTATATCTTCTATTTTATTACACAAAAAAGGTAGCAGAGAAAAATATTAAATAAAGTAATATGCTAATAAAAATTTCTATTAACAATGTAATAATACTAAATATTTTGATGATATAATAAAGAAAAATACAAAACAAAAAAGTTATTCGCTACCTGTATAAGTCTCTTTAGTTTAATAGAGATTTTATTCATTAACATTAAGAACAATAGAATAAAATTTAAATTAAAAGATATTTCAATAGTAATAAATTATATATCTTCTCTTATATTACAAAAAGAAAGCGAGCAGACAAAAATAGTAAACAAAGTAATATACCTATAAAAATTTCTATTAACAATGTGATAATACTAAACAATGGATAATGTAATAAAGCAAAATAAAACAAAATAGTTATTCGCCGACCATACAAGTATCTTTAATTTAATAGAGATTTTATTATTGGGTATATCGTATTAACAAATAAGATAACAATTGAAATTTATTAAAGCAATACAGTCTAATAGGATCAAACAAGCCCGATCATAATTTAATTCAATTAATATGTTTTTTAATATTGATCGCGCATCGCGCCGGTACGACTACTAGTTATTATTTCATTAGGCAATGCAAATCACATAATTAAATTCAAGAGGATGAACTACAACAGAGACTTTGCTCCTCCTTTTCTCCCAAACAGGGATATTAGAATACATAGATATTAGACAATACATGCTGACAAGCAGCTGTATTTGTTTGTAGCTCTAAAACAGCATTAGGCCTGCCCTTGTTACAGTTCAAAGAAATACAAAAGAACTCAAATTCCTTCGTATGCCTATTAGTCGAGAGCACGTCTATGCCTGCCTACAGAGTATCTTCATAAATAGATAAGTTGTTAGCAAACACGACTTCCTCACTCGATGTCATCAATCCAGTCACCATATATCTTACTAATTTTATCTGGCCCTTTCCATTTCTGAATGACCCTATGGCCAGCTCTCTGGACTATGCCAGAGGACCTTTGCACTTGAATGCCCGGCCCCAAATGGTAAACATCTGTGTGAGGTGCTGAAATTGTTGAGGGCACTGTACTTTCTGTTGTTTTTAAAGAACCCCCTCCCTGCCTTAAGTCTGGAGGAGTAGACAGAGGATCTTTGCCTTCAGTCTCCATCAGTCCTCCACCATACTTGTGCAACTCTGCTCAATTAGCATCAGATTAAATATCCAAATAGAATATAGTGTAAAGTCCAGAACCCAAAGCTATAGCCATTTTTTTTTTGGGGTGGGGGGGTGGGTGGGGGAAGGGGGTAATATTGATGACGTCTTTTTCAACGAATATCAAGTCCAGAAACCAAATAAATTTGAGAAGAAGAGTTCAAATTGGCAGGACATTTATGAGTATTAAGCTCTGGTGATGTAGGTTGTACAGATGCAGAATTCTCTGACAATAAACAATAAGTTTATACAGGACATTTATGAGTATTAACCTATGATCTCACTACTGTGAAATCATAGCCATTTTTTTTTTCAACGAAAGAAAATCATAACCAGTTCCAAGTACAACAAGTTGAGTCAACAATCAACTGCTTCTTGGTCTTCATAACTCATACGGTTCTTTCAGCGCCGCAAGTCTAGTGGCAGAGTATGTAATTTATAAATGACATACCAAAACCCTCTTCCTATTACACACTATATGTATGTATCTTATTACAGTACATTTTTCATTTAAATTGGCATCTGATTTAGTAACTGTGAAACTACATTCTCTAATTTAGTTTTGCAATCCAGGCAGACCACCACAACCAATTCCAGTGGGAAAGAACAGGTAATAACACCCAAAGCTATTACAGTATGAGAACTATGCAAAAGTGACTAGCATATATTTAAGAATGAGGGGCCACGTTCACTATTAAAGCACATTCTGTTCTCCTCGACATGGAATGCCGAAACTACATTCTCTGCTTTCCTTTTGCACCGACCTCTCTCAAATTTATACTTCCCTATCTAAAATTTAATATCCAGATAAGAAAAGGACTAAAATTCCAAAAACTATTCCAACTCTTCTTCAGACAGCACCCTGTTCTAACTAAAGTCACTCAACACTAACAACACAAGTTCCTATTTAATTTTTACTGAATAAATCTGCGCATAAATTATTGCCGTAGGACATGAGATACTCTATAGAGAGCACTAAACAGTAACCTAAGGTATAAAGAATTACTGCCATTAACAGAAAATTCCTGCCTGTTACAGCGGAATTTATACCATTTATTTATTCAGTGAACACATTGTTAACCAACTTAGGGTTATAAAAGTACTGATGGAAATAGAGGCATTCCCAGATTCGAAAACTTGCTTGGATCACTATATATATTGTTCCTTTTTTTTGCGAGAGATCAAGCGTAAATAACTATGCATAAAAACTAAATCTGCATTTCTTAAAATAGTTAATTTATTACTTGTGAATCAATGAATAAGTGCTCCAATTCCTTTCACAACAAAAGGACGAATCTAGTTGTGAATGCAACTTGTAAGCCAAGCTTTGCAAAAGTGGAGCCAAGACACAATGATTTGCACACTAAGAAAAAGACCTCTCATACATCATCGCCCCAATCACATGAAACTCATTAAGATAATCACTCTCGCTACAAGATGCTCCGAGATAACTGCTTCAATTCATTTGAATTTTTAAAGTGTCTTTGAAAGCATTTGATCTTATTCAATGAAATTCTCTATCTTCATTAGGAGCAACTCTCCGGATTCCATTGCTTTCAACTTGAATCCATTATAATACTTTAAAGCCAATGAATATGCCATACAATGCAAAGTAGTATTATTGTTCCATCCAACCACAAGTATTTCTTGAATTGTATTAAAAAAGTCTGACTAAAAGGTAATGAGATCCTTCCCCTCGGGCTCAAAGATAAGTATCTTCATTTTCTCAATCATCGTATCCCACATATCATAAATAAGATGCAACTTTGAACAATCAAAGGTCGACACCTATAAACATTGATACAATTGGTCTCATAAACTTCAAAAAGTAGCCATTGCTATCTCACCATTTATTATACGAGATTTTATTTCACGTGCTTTAGCTAAAACTCCTTTATCTAGTTATAATGCTTCCATTCATCATCCATATGATATCACTTTGTGAGCACGAGTCTCCATAACAATATGTGAAGCAAATTTGTCTCAGCAACTAGCAATAAACACATTTGAATGCTTTTAGGGGAACAAAGCATGTGTAAAAAAAAAGTATGTATCATGTCATGATTCAACACAAAATTCTTCAGACTGTTCAGTTAACTAATCAAATCTAATATCCATTGCAGTTTACAAAGGTAATTCAGACGGTTGACACATGTTTCTTAATAGTGATGGATGATGAATGGAAGCTTTATAAGAGAGATAAAGGATTTGATTGGTGAAGTGAGTAATCTGAAATTTTTTGTAGTGAATCATGACATAGTGCATGCTGCATTCATATTTGTGTTTATTGCAAGTTATTGAAAAACATTCGCTACATATATTGTTATGGTAACGCGTGCAGTGAATTCATTAAAAATGGTAATGGATGATGAATGAAATGTTATAAGGGAGATAAAAGATTTGTAGCTAAAACACTTGAAAAAAAATCTGTTATAATGAATGGTGAGATAGTATTAACTACTTTTTGAAGTTTATGAAACCAATTGTATCCATGCTTAAAAATGTCCAACTTTGATTGCCCAAAGTTGCTTCTTTATTGCTTCTGTTGCTGTCACTATTCTATTGTCTTTTTTTCTCTTCTTGTGTTGAGGATCTATCGGAAACAACCTCTCTACTCCGCAGGGTAGGGTAAGGTTTGCGTACACACTACCCACGCCAGATCCCACTTGTGGGATTATACTGGGTTGTTATTGTTGTTGTTGTTTGCCCAAAGTTGCAACTTATTTATGACATGTGGGACACAATGATTGAGAAAGTGAAGATAATTATCTTTGAGCATGAGGGGAAGAATCTCATTACTAGGCATTCGGATTTTTTTGACACAATTCAAGAAACACTTGTGGTTAGGCGGAATAAGAGTAATATAACTTTACATTGCATGACATATTCATTGGTTCCAAAGTACTATCAGAATCATGGATTCAATGTGAAAGCAATGGAATCGGAGATATGCTCCTAATGAAGATCGAGAATTTTATTGAATAGGATCAAATTCTTACAAAGACACATTAAAATTCAAATGAATTGAATCAAGTACCTTGGAGCATTATGTACTGGGTGTGATATTTTAGAAAGCTTCATGTGATTGCGGCTATGATGTCTGAAGAGCCTCTTTTTGGTGCGCAAATCATATTGCCTCTGCTCCACTTTTGCAAAGCTTGGCTTATGAGTTACATTCGCAGCCAGCTTCATCATCTTGTTGTGAAAGGAATTGAATCACTTATTTATTGATTCACAAGAAATTAATTAACTATTTTAAGAAACGAAGATTTACTTCTTATGCATTATAATTTACGCTTGATCTCTCGCAAAAAGGAACAATATAGAAGTGGTCCAAACAAGTATTGGTATTTGGGTATGTGTCTATTTCCTTGATTTGATATTTTCTTTAGTAATTTATTAAGCATGATAAGTGGTTTTCCTTTTTCCATAACCTTCTAATATTTCTATTCATTTTCATTTTGATGTTGATTTAGGTGGCAATTGTTTTGACATCGACAAAACTGCTAATAATTTAATTGAACTACCAACAGATGAACCCTAATTAGAATTTAGCAACAGTAGTCTTTGGAGAAGAATATGAAGATTTGCAGGTAGTTGAAGAGATAGAGGAAGAAAGCTATGAGTAAAAGCTAGTAGGCTACCAAGTGTCTAATTTGAATATGCTTGTCAGTTTTTTATTAGGTATGTCCAAATGTTCATTGTTCTTGGTGGATATTGGTGGATATTGAAATTCTAATTTGGTTTGGTGGTTATGTACTTAACTGGTTTTTGAATAACCAAGTGTTGAAACACATGTGCCTCTGTTTATGACAACATAAATCTTATATTTTAAGATTTCAAATTTACTTTCTTTAAGTTGTCTTATTTTTACATTTACATTACAAGTTACATACTCCCTCTATTCCATTTTATGTGACACTATTTCCTTAATATTTTGTTTAAAAAAGAATGACATCTTTCTATATTTGGAAACAACTTAACTATAAACTTCTAATTTTACCTAAGAGGTTGTTTGGTTCAAAACCAGGTTATCCCTAGATCATAACCAGGATAATAACTAGGATAGATAATCCCACCATATACCTATATGGGATGGATAATCCCATGATTTCGATACAAGCTAACACCTACAATCAAACACTGGAATATTATAATCCCAAATTTTATAGTGGGACAACCCTCCCAATCCTGTAACCAAACAGCCCCTCAATAGAAGCTTCCATAGGCATACAAATGTTATAGCATATTTAACGCACACGTTTCAACGGTCTTGTAGCCACACAAATATTATGACATGTTTAAGACCAAAAATTGCAAGTCTTTCTTTCTTAAACTCGCTGACGAATAAAACTACGTCACATAAGGAGTACTTTATTCATTTTTAATTACCAAAGACAAACATGGAGTAAGATCAATAGTCACATGATTCTTGGATCAAAAGTAAAAAAAAATCGCTTTATGTCTAATTTTTTTAATTACATGAATTATATTTTAATATCTAGTTTACTACTATATTGTGTAAATTATGGGAGAATGAAGAAATCCCGCAATCTTCGAGTGTGTCTAGGCGGTCTAACTGCCCACAACTTGAGAACTAATAAAAGACAGAATTACTACACTATACAAGCTGCATGCAAGTTTTCCACAGAATATTCTCGTAGCTCTATTTTAGTTTTGAATTATTTTCAGATGAATTCCATCACTTATCTCTGCACCTAGATCCATAACCCCATATGTTAAAATTTAGACCATGACGAATCCTAACCTCTAAATCCACACTCGTATGAGATATCCGCACTCGTAAGGGATATACTTACTTGTATCCGAGCAACATAGGCCTACAAAAAACATGGCTAAACCATGCCAACTGACTTTTTCTCCCTCTTATTTTTTTCTTTTTTAAGAAATCAAGAACGACTTTCCCTCGATTTATCATCTATATGTGCTACTTGTACATTTTTTATGTGATTATTCATAATCTTGTCTAAACTTGTATAACCACAAATCCATCTTAACATTATGACACATCTTGTGTGATGAGCATTTTACACCAAACCACAATTTAACCAAGCATATTAATATCCAGAGAGAAATAGAAATCGACAAGCATCAACTTACAGAACTCTCTCTATACAGTAAAATCACAACTCCTATACCAACAAAATAAGCAAAAGATGCATTCATACCTGCTGCTCCATGAGCAAAATGACACTTGCTGCCAAAAGGGCAATAACCAGTGGTCTCCCACTTATTACAAATTCTTGTCTTCCAGTTTGAAGGCTTCAGGTTTGCTCCAGCAGCATTATTACCAAATCCACCAACAGTGGGAGTCACACTTATTGCAACACTCTCTCTAGCTCGAGACTGTTCATCGTGAAGGAAAGTGCAAGTATCTCCATAAGGACATCCTTCTTCAGTGTAGAACTTCTTGCAATGCCTCCCTTTAAAGGACCTTTGTGTCTCAATACGCAACTCAGGAGAACTCACAGTTGGTATCTGGTGCTCTTCTCTAAATTCCAACATAACTCCTCCTCCTCCTCCGTGCTCACTTTCATGTTCAGCAACTATCTCTTGCCAATTAGGAGGCGGCTTGCGCAGCTCTTCTATACCATGAGCAAAGTTACAATTATTAATATAAGGGCACACCCCAGCGCGGAACTTGCAACACAATTTAGTTTTGAAGAACATCTTTCCAATTGCTTTGGAGCGACTAGTAACATGTGAATCTGCCCCCTGCGAGCTCCGTGACTTCTTGTGGGGAGGCTCACTCCCAGATCGATTGGAACTGGAAGGGGTTTCGGAGGAGGGGCCTGTGTTCCAATCTCTATAATCATCCTCAGTAGCCCAGACAGCCTGGTCAGAAAAACCAGGACCCCAATTGTCAAAGCCACTACCATTAGAAGTGCTATCGGGGATCATATTCCCTCCAGCAAAACTAGCTTCTCCCATGAAATCCATGAAGAAACAGACCCAACATGCTTAAAACCACCAAAAAAACATATAAAATGGAGGGATTTGACATACAAAAAGAACAACAAGATATACACTCTTCCAGATTATACCTATCCGAATAAATTACCCAAAAGAGGTAAAAACAGGACTAAGAGTACAAAGAGGGGAATAACCACTTAAAAACAGGAACATTTTTTATTAAAAACAAGAGGGAGAACGTTAAAAATTGGATCTTTTTACTTAATGAGCTCTAGACCCATCAAAATACGTGCTCAAAGGAAAAGAACACCTTCGGTAAATTCGACTTTTCACCAAGCTTGATGCCCTAATTCAAATCACTCAAAGAAAAAGGACAAAAAAACATAGATAAAAGCAACAGAAACTTAACCAGCTAGTGCTCAAAGAGAATGTCAATTCAAAAACCCTAAAGAAAGCGAACCCAGAAAACCCCCAAAATAAGAAAGCAAATACAGGAAAATGAGGAAATAAAGATAGTGAAAGAAAGCGGTATCCCAAAAAAAAACAATTACTAGTAAAGGAAAGAAATAGTTGAAGCAACTTCAGATGAGGAAACAAATCTCACACTAAATTTACAACAACCGCAAGAGTGAGAGGAGTGGTTATTGACTGACAGTTATTTGATACTAACTCCTTAATCTCTCCGAAGAGCGATGTTATTTATCACTGTGGACAAGAGAGATTTCTCCACCGTGTCCTTAAAACATTTCAGGTACGGTGTTTGGCGCGGTGGTCCGAACTAGATATTTTAGAAGCATTAATTGCAACAGCTCTTCCTCACATTTGCTTGCCTTTATTACATATGGTGGACAAAATTATAATTTCCCCCCTCACTTTTCTCTCTTCTTATTTATGAACAGTTATTATTGCCAAAAAAACATTTTTTTTTCTAATTGTATAATCCTCTCTTATAATTGATGAAATATTAGATTTCTTGATTTGCTTAATTATTTATAATGATTAATGAGGATTTATATTTTGTGGTGTCTTTTTTAATTGCAAAAGTCTCCTTGTTGTTGACGGAATTATTGAAGTATCCCTCAATCTTTTGTCGATTAATTTATGTAGGATCATTAGTTGTAAATAACATTTGGTTTCCCAGTTGGTTTGGGATCGATTCCCCCCTCAATGCTTTCTGGGTTGAGCCTGTCGCACAAGGCTTGCCTAGTGCGATTTACCCGGTGCGCATAAAGTGCTCGCCACAGAATGCTCTCCCAAAGGGCATAGGCTGTGGCAAAGGTTGTAACGGCTGCGAATTTCCCCTCTTGCCAAATAAAAAATGTTATAATAATAACATTTGGTCTTAATTACATAGCCTACTCGTTGCAATAGCATTTGTCACGTCTATTAGTAATCTTCCCCACATTTTTTCTTGCAACAGACTTACAGCTTGTTTGGCTGAGCTTTAAATATCAGCTTATTTTAATAAGTGATTTTGAGAAACATTTTATGTTTAACTAATTAATTTATAAAGCACTTATAAGCAGCAATTACTGTTTGGTCAAGCTTTTAAAAAATATTTTTAACTGTAATTTTCTCGAAAATACTTTTTTAAAAGTGCCTTTGGAAGACGCTAAGAGCCCGTTTTGCCAAGTTGTCAAAAGCTACTTATTTTGAAAAGTACTTTTTTTTAACAATGCTTTTACCAAAAGTTTTTGAAAAAAAAAATAATTTGTGTTTGGCCAATTCATTTAAGGACTTTTTGCAACATTTGGTAAACAAATCGTGTTTGGCCAATTTTTCTAAAGTGTTTTTGAGTGTCAAATTACCAAAAAAGATAATACCAAGGTCTTATAATTATTTTAAAGAGAAAAATAAAATTAAATATTTATCGTAAGAGACTTTATTATTTTTATTTTATTAAACTAAAATATAAAACATAAAGTAAATATACATATTAAATATATAAATCAATATAACATATATAGTTATACCAAAGCATATAATATTATCTAGTATAATTACTTATTGTCATCACTCAGTATGAATTAGAAGTATATTCCACAAATTACTATATATTGATAATCCAACATGAAATAATAAGCAAAGCCACTCGCACATGATAATATTTCTCAATAATTTCATCCTTAATTCTATCACACAACGCCTCTTATACTAGTAAAAGACTTGTCTTGCATTTCTAAAGGAATACCAGAAGGCCCATATTCTTCCTCTGTATCTGCAGTAATATTTTCATTGGCATAATAGTTGAATTCCTTATCAGTAGAAGAATATCTTCAGATGAAATTATGTATAGCCATAGTAGTTATAACAAATAATTCTAAGTGTCAAACTTGAAAGAGGACATTGAGCGTAAAATAGAAATTAAATATATATAAAATATTGTTCTAGTAAAAAAAAAAGTATGTTTAAATTCAAATTCAAAAAGAGTAACTAATTATTAACAGCACATCATACATAATTTAACTTTATTTAAAATCTAATCCAAAAAAAAAAACTAATTATTACCTAACCTAACTAACTTTGTTCTAAATTGCCAAGTGACATATTGTGAGACTGCCACTTGGTTTAATGTGGAGGCTTTTTCTTCTTCTTTTAATAATATATAGATATAAATTATGCGATGCAATTGTAAATTTATTACCTATTTGTAGGTAATTTTCACAATAGATTTGATAATTGTTTTAAATATTCGGGAATTAATAGCCTGTAACAGAAAAAATTATAAATGTTTATTTGTAGGAAGAGAATTGATAATCCAAAGAAGGATGTAGATACTTTGCTTTAATGTGAAAAAAGAAAAAAATAATTTGAAAAGCTACAAGACATTACACAAAGAGAAAACCAAAAACAAGAAAAGTCAAAAAAGAGTTACAATATATTCATATATTTGATATCTCTAATTTTAAAAGAATGGTAGAAATCAGAAACAAAAAAGAAAAGAAAAGGCTTAAATCAGTAAGTTTGACTTGAATAAATTAATCTTCTGCTTATTGGAAGAAGTTAGAATTTTGTGCTTCTTCCCAAAAGCAGAAAAACTACTGCTGCTGGCCAAAAGTACTTCTCCGTCTTAGCCAAACAGTTAAAAAAATGTACTTTTTTGGGAGAAAAAAATACTTTTGACCTCCCGGAAGCTTGACCTAATTCTTTTTGCTTCTCCAAAACTGCTTTTATTTCTACTCAAAAGCACTTTCTTCCCCAAAAAACTTGGCCAAACACGACAAGTTACAAGAAAAATAAAAAAAAATAAAAAACTACTTTTGGCTATGGAGAAGCTTAGCCAAACAAGCTATCAATCTTGTTAGATAAACCAAACGATTAACACTTAAAGATGACTAAAAATTATCTTCATTCTTTTTCTAAGCAAAAAATATTATTTTTGAGGGTCAAAACATATACTTAATGTTTACATTATGCATCTTGTAACTTTCTTCTGCTGACGTATTAAGTCAGAAACATGACATTAAATTCATAACCAGTTACAAAAGTGTTTATCTATTGCATGTCTTTTCTTTTGCCTTTTATGGTGACGTACTAATTTAAAAAAATAGCAAGAGAATTAACTTGGCTCATTATAATATCCACCTGCTTTATTTGCATGATTTCCTTTACGCAAAAGTCTTAGTAACATTATTTATCAACTCATACCTGAAATGGTTGGTTAGAATCTAGATTCACCTCACAAATGTGGAAGCTGAAATACTGCCCCAAACTCATTTACTTGCTTGGCCTCTGAAAAAAATGAGCTTATTATTTCTACTGAGATAATTAAGATGTACAAGAACACAATTGACTCACCTTGGCTAGAACAGATTAGGCTTTGAGACAGAAAGTTCATCTACCATTCCTCGACAGTTCCCAAAATCTGATGAATATCGAGTAGAAAATGCTCTGCAGTAAGGATTAACTAATAATCATATATGCTATTAATCTAAGGATGACATTACACATTTTATTGTGCGACTCAAATTTATGTGCTTTGTGACTGGAAAATGAGATTAGCATACTGAAAGTATATCATGAGATAGTACTATGATATATGACCCAACCATTGTGGAGGTCGATCTGCATACATGTTTCAGAAAAGAAATGCAAAACTGAAGCAAATTCAAAGTCCTTAAATTTTTTGCTAAATCCATTAAACCAATGACTTGAATAATTACAAAGAATATCAATGTAGAAAGATCAAGAGCTAAGATTGTGAGAGAAAAACCTAATTGATAAGCGCTAAACCGATGTCAGAGCTCGCCTTTCGGGTATTACAAGCTGGAGATCTGATCGGAACCTATATCTGACCAAAAGGTTGAGTCCCTGCAGTGGGATGAAAATGACTCTGCCAACCCAATATCTTAAGCCTAGTACCTTGTTGCCCTACCACTGCGGATGCAACCTTAGCTGCTATGAAACCCACGGTTTTCAAATCAGACACAACCCTCAATAAATAAATAAAAGGGCAGCCCGGTGCACAAAGCATCCCGCGTTCATGCAGGGTCTGAGGAAGGGGTGTGATGTAAGCAGCCTACCCTCAATATTCCGAACAAATAGCTGATGCATAAGCGTTCCCCGCACCACAAGTATCTACAGGCACGCATGGTGACAGAGGAATATAGATAGCTTCCCCCTTCACAACGTAAGAACCTTTAGGCCCATCTGTGACGGAAACTAAAGGGACAAAATGGCTCAGGTACCTTGTAGCAGAAAGGGGACTTTCATTTGATGAAAAATGACAGAAAGCTCTTACTTCTTCGCTGTTAGCAAATACTATATCTGCATAATTTGCCATGATTCCCTGGCCGAAAAATGTGATATATACTAAGGATAAACAACACTGGAATACTAGAAGAAACAAAATTCAGGATCACTATGTACATGTCCAAACAACAAATTTTGGTTTCTGACTTCAGTTTTTATGATAATTTCAGCGGACTGCTAACCACTAGTAGACTTAGCCTGATCAATATAGTCCTATGCAAGACATAGCATGAATCCGCATGGACTTCAATTTCCACATTGACGATCAAATACTGAGCTAAACCCAGTTTTCCATGTTTTTTTCTCTTTTCTTCTGCTTTTGCTTTACTAGAGTGGGTTTGTTTCCTTGTGTGTGTGTTACAACCGCAACAACTCCTGCTAGATAACCGCCCCTTTCTCTCTTTTTACAGCCTCGTGGACGGACAAAAGAAGGGGTTAATCGTTCTCTTGCAACTTGATGTAAGGCAGAGTTTGGTTTTTTTGGGGTGATAGTGGAAAAGCTGACAGATAAGTCACCCTTATCGCCACTCTACAGAACCGCACATGAGATTTTCACCTCAGGTACCGGGGGGGGGGGGTCGGGGGTGGGGGGGTCCTTTATCATGCAGATGCAAGATAGAAAACAAGGTTTTACCAGTAATCATCATAATGTCTCTCAATGTAGGACACATCTGATGCTGTGATGGCAACTAATGCTCCACATGTGCGGGCTTCTTCCTAGACTTTCAAAATTGTTCTGACTGTATCAGGAAGCCCAAACAAGTATCCTTCCACAACCAATATATTTATTTTAGTAATTGCATCAGCCAAGCATCGGTCAAAGTCTATAAATTGAAGTTAAAAACAATCCCACTGGAAAATAAATTGAAAATATACCTGATGTTACTGGTCGAAAAAGTGCATGAAGGCAGCCATATGAAGTCCAGAAATAACTCCATTGTTGTATCGGGGAAACAAAATTGAAGGATCACACAGCAGAATCATGCATCAGCTGAAGACAAAGGCTCTACCACATTTATTGGGACTAGCTGCTGCTAAAAAGAGATGCAATGATGTAGTGGAAGAGTTATTTCCAAGAGAATATCGTGACAGTCAATGCTGCAAATAGATAGCCCTATGAAACCAAACGACAGTATCCACTAGCCTAGTGTCTTCCAGAGAGACCACATATCCTTCCCAAACAACAGAGATCTTTAATGCAGCTCTATCCCACCGGGCCCATTCTTTATGTCTGCAAACCCATATGGTGGAAAGAGCGTGCTTCTCATAGTAACTCCTGAACGAGAATATGCTTGTGAGTTGTCTAAAAACTTGCTAGCTTCATCTCCTTCAGTAACACCTGCAATATGCTATGCATGCTTTCATTCTGAGGATGTGAGGAGGACCCAACCATAAATTCATGCACTACTCCGGCAATGTTAATCCAACTACATCCTGGCACCTTTGCTACTCCCTTTTCCTTCATTGACAACCTCAGTCGTGAAATAGCGCTCCAGCGTTGATCACTGGCATATGTATTGGACAACATCACATAGCCAGCAGAATTGTCAGGGTCCATCTCAACAAGAATGGAGGAAATAATTTGGGCTAGTTCCAATCTGTTATGCAGCATGCAGCCACCAAGTAAAGCTCCCCACACAAAATTATTGGGTTTAAAAGGCATTGAGGTAGCAACTTGAAGTGCTTCCTCAACATAACCTACTCGAGCGAGGAGATCAATATAACTAGCATAATGTTCCAATCTAGGAGCAATACAAAAACATTGGCTCATTTCCTTAAATATCTGACGGCCTTCAGCTGTCAAACCTGAGTGACTGCAAGCACATAGCAAACCAAGGAATGTTCTAGCATTCGGACGCAAATTAAGCTCAAGCATTTGCGAGAAAAGTTTTAACGCCTCCATGCCTTTACCATTTATTGCAAGACCCATGATCATAGCATTGAATGAAACAACATCTTTTACAACCAATTGGTCAAAAACATCTCCTGCTTTCTCTAAACTCCCACATTTGGAGTACATATCTATCAAAGCAGTTGCAAGATTTGCATTTGAAAGTAAAACCCCTTTTTGCCTACTACCTTTCATGTACTCATGAACCCACAAACCAAGGTACAAATTACCAATTTGAGCACAAGCTGAAAGCACATTAACCATTGTCACATGATTGGGGCAACAACAATTAAGCTCCATCATCAACTGGAAAAGACTTAAACCCTCCAGAGCACAGCCATTCTGAACATATGCGCCTATCATAGCATTCCATGGAAGCACACTTCTCTTCCCATCACCAGAAATCTGTTCAAATATTTCCCTACTCTTATCAACCTTTCCCCACTTTCCATACAAGTAAACAAGAACAATGCTAACCGAGTCACGTCCAGAACTTCCTAAATCATACAAAAAGTTCCCAATCCATTTCTCAATATTTGACATATCAAGTTTTGAACATGCAGATAACACACTAATCATAGTATCATTTACAGGAATCAAGCTCTTCTTTACCATAGATAAAAAATGACATAAAGCTTCCTCAGACAAACCCAACTTGGCATACCCAGAAATCAAACAAGTCCAAGAAACAACATCCTTCTCAGGCATTTCATCAAATAGCTTACGCGCAGAATGCAACTCTCTCAAACTCCTAGCATAAACACTTAACAACCCTTTACAGACAGATGGGTCATCACCAAGACGCAACTTTAGAACAAGGGAATGAACCTGTTGAACATAATATGAATTCCCAGAACGAGAACAAGCTTTAAGAATGAATGAAAAGGTCAACTGATTAGGCAAAAGGGAGTAATATCTTAACTTGTTAAAAACCAAGAATGCGTCAGCGAAATTTCCCTCTTCACTAAGAACCCTGATAATGGCGTTGAAGGGGAAAAGATTGGGTTTTTTTAACTGGCCGTCAAGTACACGGAGGGAAATATTTGAAGGGTATTGACCAATAAGGCGAGTGGCAATGAGGTTATCTTGGTGAGCACCAATACGGAAAACCCGAGCGTGGATTTGTAGAAGGTGATTATGGGGAATGCGTCCTTGTAAGAGATTGGAGAGAGATGAAAAATCGGAGAATGAGCGTGTGAAGTTGAAGCAAGATTGAGCTATGGACTTGGATTTGATGAATTGCATGGTGTGTGCTATGGCGTATGCTTAACTATGCCTTACTCAAATCACTCAAAAGAGACAAGGGCAAAGGGAAAAAATCAGAAATAGTAGCAGTTCAAACAATAACCAAACTTTAGCCATTTTTTCATCAAATTTGAAAAATATCCTTAAATTTTCGAAAAATTTCAGCATAATGTACTTGAGATCAAATTGTTTATATGTGAAATTTTTGTGCTTGATTCCAATATAATATGCTGGAAATTTATATACAGAAGCTCCATAATCCAGCATATTATGCTGGAACTTTTTGTATTTCTGCTAAAATAGTGACTATTTTTTAATGACTTTGCAAACGCTGGCTATTTTGAGAAATTACCAACTATGTCCATTTATAGGTAGCTCATTACAAAAATTGGTCAATTGATAAAATATTACTAATATTAGCCAAATTAGCCAATTAGCTATTTGTAGCAAAAAAATATCAAACTTTTGCTTTGTTTTGAGTGGGTGTTATTAGAATAGATTGGGCACAACTTAAGGAGCTTGAATCTCCGTTTTGGAATGATTTGGTTAAGTTTTGAGGTGGTTTGAATTGAAAATTCGATAAAAACTGATGAACATGAAAAAAATGATATGTGTATCACACTGTGTATCATTTGTGTATCACATATGTATCATATTTGTATCTATTGTGTATCACATGTATATCCATGTATACATGTGCGTGAGATACATGAGTGATACATGTGTCGCAGAAGACTTTTTTGAACTCGATTTAATTACGAATTTTGATACAAAACCAGTTCAAATCACCTCCAATATTCCTCAAATTGTTTATATTGACTTATCTATTTATTTTCAATGAATTTCAACTATACCGATTGAAAAAGTTCCTTTTTTGTTTAAATTTTTGGAATATTGTATATATTTTTTGTATTTCATCACCTTATTTGCTACCTCATCCATAAAATTTCCTTTCTGTCTTGTATCTAGTGTTGCTAATCATGCTTAAAAATATAGAAGGTGATTTTTGCATGTGATTCTTTGAGAGAAAGATCCCTATTATTTGGTTTTTTATTGGCTAGTTTTGGTAAGTCTATGATTAATGGCTAGAGGTTGGTAAGTTGAGATTTATTTGGGACATTTGTGTAAGTTTCCCGGCTATTTTTCATTACTAGTTCGAAAACTGGTTAGCCCATGCTATTTTCACACAAAAAAAAAAGGACAAAAAAAAAATAACAAAAACTTAACCAGCTATTGCTCAAAGAGAAAATCCCCAAAATAAGAAAGCAAATGCAGGAAAATGGGGAAATAAAGATAGTGAAAGTACTTGCTCCCTCCCGTCTATTTTATTTGTCATGATTACTAAAAATAATTGGTCATTTAAAAAAAATCAAGATATATTTAATTTAATTATTTCACCTTTACCCTTATTATCATAAATGTGAAGAGAGATAAATGTGGTAAAATTAAGAGTAGTATTAAATTGAGATCAAAGAAAAAATGAGTACAATTTAGTCAAATTATCTTATATTTAATATTTTGTTAAGGGACATGCAAAAGGAAAACATAACAAAATAATATGAACCGGAGACCGGAGGGAGTATGATTGAATTATTGAAGTTCCCTCAGTTTTTGTTGAATTATTGAAGTTTCCCTCAGTTTTTGTTGATTTATTTACTATGTAGGATTATTAATTGCAAATAACATTTGTCCTAATTACATAGCCTACTCTATGGCTCGCAACATTGTTGAAGTCTCCCTTACTTTTTTTCTTGATTTGTTTACGTATAATGATTAGTTGCAAAAAGCATTTTCGGTAATATGTATTTTAACTGCCTAAACTCTCTCCTACGATTGTGAAATTATTAAAGTCTCCCTCACTCTTTTTCAAGATTGATTTAAGTGCAATAATTAATTGCGTAGCATTCATCACATATGTAATATGTTAGATTACGTAGAATGATATTGTGAAACCTTATGTTTTAGTTTACATACGTCTCCCAAATGGTTGGGCGAAACTATATAATCTTTCCCACATTTATTTCTTGCAACACACTTAATCTAGTCAGTTAAACTAAACGATTTGCGATCTTGTATCTTTCTTCCAGAAACGTGACATTTAATTTGTAACCAGTAAAAAATGTGTTTTTCTTTTGTTACGTATAAGTGACTTTTTGGCCTTTTTCTTGTGGTCCAAAATAAGTGATTTTTCCAGATTTCAAGAATGAATTAATTATTTTTTCCCTACATTGTCCTTGGAGTAAATAGTATTGGAATATGTGTTAGGAGTGTTTATGTAAGATAGTAAAGGTTAATATGGTCAATTCCATTGCTAATTAATGTTAAGAGGTGGATTTCTTAATCTGTGTGAAAACATCCAAAAAATCACTTATTTTGGACCGGAGGGAGTACTAATTAGGAAAATAGCAAAAGAATTAACTTGGCTCAGTATAATATCCACCTGCTTTATTTGCGTAAAAATAGTACGGTCTAGCCAATTTTCGGATTGGTTATTCAAAAATAGCCAACGTTTACCAAGTCAATAAAAAATAGCCACTATTTTGCTGCAACAGAGACCGGTCCAGCATAATATACTGGAGTTCGGTGCACTTGTGTATGAACTTCCAGCATATTATGTTGGAACTCCAACACACGGAGAGTTCCAGCATAATATACTGGAGATTCGAGCACTTGTGTATGAACTTCCAGTATATTATACTGGACCGGTATACTTTGCTGGGAACTCCAGAATATTATGCTGGAGTTCTAGTGTACTTATGCTGGAACTCCATCATATTATGCTGGAGTTCCAACATACTTATCCTGAAACTCCAATATAATATGCTGGAGTTCAAGTATACTTATGCTGGAGTTGGCGTATTTTTCGGGTATTGAACAGTGTTTTCGCTCAGATTTTTCTTTACATGAAAAGTGGCTAAATTTCGATTACTTTTGAAACTGGACTATTTTTAAACGACCACTTGTAAATCTGGCTATTTTTGAATTTCTCACTTTACTTGCAAGTATTCCTTTACGCAAAAGTCGTAGTAACATTATTTATCAACTCACATCTGATATTGTTGGTTTTCCTAACGAGTCCTCTTGTATTATTTTTTTTATAACCGTGGTGTCTGGATCAGCTTGCGCGCACCTCAACCAATCCCATGGGATACCTATCACCTTCCACCATCAACACGTACCAAGTAACTGAGTTCACTTTTATCAATGGGTAAGTTCCCAGTTCACTCCCTGCTTAGAATCTAGACATCACCTCACAAATGTGGAAAGCTGATGTACTGCCTGAAACTTTTTTACTTTCTTGGCCATTGCAAAAACTTAAGATATGTAAGATGTACATGAATACATTTGACTCACCTGGCTATTACAAATTAGGCTTTGGGACAGAAAGTTCATCTAACATTCCCAGACAGTGCCCAAAATCTGATGAATATCGGGGATCAATGTAGTAAGGATTAACTAATATATAAATCAGATTGATAGTATATCACTAGATAATACCATGATATATGATCCCAACCATTGTGGAGGTCGATCTGCGGACATACATACATGTTCCAGAAAAGATATGCAAAACTGAAGCAAATTCAAAGTCCTTAAATCTTTTACTGAATCCATTAAACCAATGACGCGAATAATTACAATGAATATCATCAATTTACAAAGCTCAAGAGCTAAGAATGTGAGAATAAAACTAATGCGATAACCACTAAACTGATATCAGGGTTCACCTTTCGAGTATTACAAGCTGGAGATCTGATCGGAACCTACATCTGACCAAAAGGTTGAGTCCCTGCAGTGGGATGAAAATGACTCCGCCAATCCAACAGCATCTTGTACCCTAAGCCTAGTACCTTGTTGCCCTACCACTACAGATGCAACCTTAGCTGCTACGGAACCCATGGTTCTCAAATCAGACACACCCCTCAATATTCCGTACAAAATACCTGATGCATAAGCATCCCCTGCACCACAAGTATCTACGGGCACACAAGGTGATGGAGGAATATAGATAGCTTCCCCTTTCACACCAATGTAAGAACCTTTAGGCCCATCTGTGATGGAAACTAAAGGGACGAAATGGCTCAGGTACCTTGTAGCAGAAAGGGGACTTTCTTTTGATGAAAAGTGACAGAAAGCTCTGGCTTCTTCGCTGTTAGCAAATACTATATCTGCATAATTTGCCATGATTTCCCTGGCCAAAATATGGTGGAGAATAATAAGTATAAACAACATTCTAATAGTAGAAGAAACAAAACTCGCGTTCACTATTTACATGTCTAAACAACAAATATTGGTCTTCCGACTAAAGGTTTTATGACAATTTCAGTGAACTGCTAGCCACTAGTAGACTTTAAATTAGCATGATCAATATGGTCATGTGCAAGGTCTAGCATGAATCTGCATGAACTTCTCGTTCCACATAGAGGATCCAAAGACTGACCAAAATCCAGTTTCCAAGCTTTTTTCTCTTTCCTTTTTTTTTTAATCAAGATTTATTTTCTCTTTCCTTATACTTTTGCTTTTATTAGAGTGGGGCTTTTTTCTTGATTTTGGTTTTTGGGGGGTGGGGGGAGGGGGTATTTTCAGCTTTATTATGCAGAAGCAAGATAGAAAATGAGGTTTACCAGTAATCATCATAATGTCTCTCAATGCAGGACACATCTGATGCTGTGATGGCAACTAATGCTCCACACTTGCGGGCTTCTTCACAGACTTTCGAAATTGTTCTGACCGTATCAGGAAGCTCAAACAAGTATCCTTCCACAACTAATATATTTGTTTTAGTAATTGCATCAGCCAAGCACGGGTCAAAGTTTATCCTTGATGACGTACCCTGCTCTCACAACAGGAGCAGAAAAAGGCAGTTAAAAACTCATTCTGCAGAAGGGACACTTACTAAAACAAGTGGAAAGCAAAGCACATGGATGCAATTGAACCAGTGGGCAAGCCTTCTTTCTGGAAGGGGGGAGGTTGTGTTTTGTGCTGTTTAAAATAAAATTTTCAGGTACGTGAAATGAAAAGAGATGGTCTATCATGTTTGTGTAAGGCCCATGATTTTATCTTGTTCATATGAGGCCTATATGACTGTAGCATGGCAGAGCAAAAGGTAGCAAAAACAGATGGTCTTTGTCGACTTGCAGTAAGAGAAAGGCATACAAGTCCTTGCCGAGCCACAATAACCTACTATTTGTTCCACAAAGGAGAAGGACCCTGAGAGGAGGGAAGAGGAGATTCTATTATCTTCTCTACTCCATTAAAAAGAAAATGCATCCCTTTTTCTGGCACCTCTGATTTGCTTCTTTTCATAGGAAGTACCAAACTAGCTCAGAGTCATATAAAGATTTCCTAAACATTGGTTAAAGCCATGTACTTGCATATCATAGTATTAGCCAAAATAGCGAAGTCTAAGGTTCTGCCTGAGGTAAAGTATTATAAGATACATGTCAAAACAAACAAACAAACAAAAAGGAAAAAGGTTCTATGCTTTGATCATGAACTGTTTCGCTTAAACCATGACCATCAGCTCCCAGTACTAATTGAGCATACTGCATCTAAATATGAAGAAAGATAGATGGAGGTATACGCAACACTCTGACGAAAGCCACTTTAGAGAAGATAGGTACTGAACCGTTGAAAGCATGCCAATTGTGCTTGACGAAGAAAAAAAACCGCTTTCTTAAGGCTTCAAACTACTAGTCATTAAGACTACTATGAATGAAAAGTAAGGAAGTCCTTTTCTTGACTTGGCCTGCGTGCATTATACCTAACCTTTTAACTTGATTTCAATCTCAACAAAGAAATGAGGTTTGGAACTATGGCACGTATAATATAGGGTTTACAATATGTCTGGGATGGGATCACTCTAATCCACTCAGCACCAAGCCAACTGCCATTCATATGCAGAAAATGCCATGAGCGAGTTACTACAGAGCATTTACTAACCTGGTACGCCAGCATGGTTCGCTGTGCATCTGGAGTTGTGAGGACTATCACAGTTCCCGTTGTCCCATCCTTCACTGGTGCTGACAAAAAGTTCACATTTGCTCGTCGAAGTTTGGATCTGTATGTAAAGTGATACAGCTCTGGTCAGTGGTCAGTCTAATTGAAGCACTCGGATTTTAAAAAAAAAAGTCCATTGGACACAGCACAACAGACTCTCCTAAGCTCTCAATTTAGATGTGGAATAATTTAGTATTTCTCTTATATAAATCATGAAACTGGAGATTCATTCAAAATTCTAAGCCTACATAATACCAGAAGACTGTGTTCCTTCAGGCTTCAGCTAGTGAGATCTCAGAGGCACGTACAGGTTGTAATTCGTATTTTTTACAGTAGTCTTGCTCTCCATTTTTAAATATTATCTCTTACTCCCCCATGCATATTATTTTAAGGCAACACGCGTCCACATCACATATTTATATCTATACTAACAACTGGCAGGAACGGCACAGACCAAACAGACAGCAGCATCCAAAAAAAAAAGAGAGGGGAGAGGAATAGCCTAGTGGTAAGGGCCCTCTGCCTCCAAACATATAATAGGGGTTTAAGTCACGAACGGAGAAAGCAGGAAAAGCGGCTGTTGAGCTCCTAGATAGGGAGTTTAAAGGGTAGGCTTTTTAAAAAAGGGAGAGACGCGAGAGAGCAGAACTTGTAACAGTCACCAACCCTCTAGGGCAAAAATGGGATAAAGGCTATAAGAGATAACCTTACCTGTAAAATCCACCCAATGGATCACTTCCAATACTACCTGCCATGCCTACATTCAAAGCAGGGCCACCTATTGGCTGACCACCAAGCCTAGCCAAGGCAACCAGGCTATTAGAAAGTGATCCACCGGCAGCGGCCTTGTAGCTGCATCCGTCCATTGCACGCAGAACTTTACCCCTTTCCTCATGATTGATGACCTTTCTTGTACCCTTCTCTAATCCAAGCTTCTCCAAAAATTCATCATCAACCATGCCAGAAAAATCAACCTATATAAATCGCCAAAGAAGATCATTACATGAAAGAAGCTGGTACTATAACTAAGATATATCAGCCTACTGTATCAAATTGTGAAACTTCGGTGAGAGCAATGATAAGTAAAATAAAGTAATACAGCAAAGGTTAATGCCAATAGGCCACTGTAGTGCCATACTGCCAGTCATGACTCGGGAAAGAGAAGATTTGGGATACAATAAGAAGCCAAAGGATTATAAACAAATCTAACCTATTCTCAAATTTAAATACACTTACAGTGTTTTTGGGTGGTCATAAACAACAATGACAGCAACTAAGTGAATGCAAAAGATTATCTGTAAGGGGTAAAATGCATAACATCCTTCAATATCGTTTTTTTAATGACTTGAGAAATCCATCTGGAGCCAACCCTTAGGACCAACCACGGTCTCTGAAACTCAAGGACGGTGGGCCCAGCCCCCCTATCCTTACCCACTTAAATACAAGACTTCGTTTGCGTGGCTCGGAGCTCAAACCTATGAACTAAGTCACAAGTCTCTCAAACTTTGCCAATTGAGCTAAGCCCCAGAGACCCATAGGAATTTAAATACCAACTTGTTTTCCTGATTCTTTACCAAAAAAAGTAATACCAACATAGTGTGATTTTAATCCCATTGTCCAGCAACAATGGTTTGTCATAAAGGGATTAAAAACAGCTCTTTTTAATGTATAAATATAGAATAGCATACGTTCTAATAGCTAGGCATCCTCTAAATATTCCTACTGACATTCACTAGGAAAAAGGGTGTAAGAGCATTTACCATAGCTTGGCCAAGGCCTAATACATCCCATTTTTGGGGAAGAGCAGAGCTGGAAAGATTAACATCTTCCTCATCAACAATCAAGACTTGGTCTTCATCGTCAGTCTCAGCCCCTTGTTCATCATTTTCACCCGACACAATCTTCGAGCTTTCCCCATCAGAATTTCCAGACGAAAAGGAAGAATAAGAGGAAGACGCAAAAGCCCTCGGAACCACATAATTGGCAGTCGACATAGAACAAGACGAAGAAAAGAAAGAACACGAGCTGGAACCGAAAATTCTAGCGTTAGAGGTAACATTTGAATGGTTCCTTAAAAGGGAAAGTAAAGCGGACGGTGAAGATGTAGTAGAGATAAAAGAGGGAATATGTCTGGTAAGTGTGGAAGATGAAGAAGAAGATAAGGAGAGGAGAGAGAAAGACATCCTATTTTAATTTCTATTTTTGGGTGAATTGAAGAATAGAAATAACTGAAAACCGCTATTTCTGGTTTATTAGTACGAGGATAGAGACTCCATTCAAATCTTAATGCTCGCCGTGTTCTCCGCAGGAACAGAGGACCTGCGTCTACGTTTTTGGCTGCGCTCAGAACCTCAGGCTCCGGTCACCTATGGACGTGGGATTCAGAGTATCGCTCCTTTATCATCAATTAGCTAGCCGACTATTATTTTCTCTTTTGGGACCTCAAAGTTTATCTATATAACGCTTACCTCTCTTGTCATTTGAAATATTGCAGTTGAGCTCTTCATTTTTTTTTTTTTTTAAATTTTCCTTGTAATTAAATTGATTTCAAGGAATAAAATAATTATGATGTTTCAATATTTCATAGTTACCCTATCTAACCTGCACTTTTGTACGTAGATTTGAAATATTTGATAAAAGAAATTCAAATAAGTGTTTCTTGTATAATCTCGTCTATTATTTCAACCTCAATTTAAAATAAAAAAAAAATTGTTTGAAAACTTGTAAGAGGTGATATTCAAGTAATAATTTTCACTCTCAAAATTGTATTTTTTGTCAAACACAACTTAACTTCCAAATACGTTTTACGTTCACCTTCAAATACTCTTATTTTTCCTTTCAAGTTTTAACAAAATGCAATTAGTCATTAAGATAGAGATGCTAAAAAGGAAACATCCTACTATATTTAAGAAAATTTAAATATTCCCACCAAAAGAATTAACAAGAAAACTCATTTAAGAATTGTTAGATTAGTTGAAAAAATAAACACCAAAAACTCAAAAAGAATTTAGGGATAATTTCATATAAATCCCTAATTTTCTTTTGACATTATTTCTTAATTATTTATATTAATTTCCTTAAAACAATACGGGAAGCCGCGAGTAAGGTTTTAGGGGTATCAAAGGGTTACTCTAGTGATTATAAGGGAGACTGGTGGTGGAATGGAGAGGTGCAAGAAAAAATGGAAACCAAGAAAGCAGCATATTTGAAGCTAGTGGAAAGTGTAGACGAGGAGGAGAAAAGGGCGAATAGGGAGCATTATAAGTTGGCTAAGAAAGAGGCAACGCTAACAGTAACGGCAGCCAAGACTGCAACTTTTAGTCGTTTGTATGAGGAACTCGGGGGCCGAGGTGGGGATAAGAGGTTGTTCAGGTTAGCCAAGGTGCGAGAAAGGAAGGCGTGTGAATTGGACCAAGTGAAGTGCATCAAGAACGAAGAAGGTAGAGTTTTGCTGGATGAGGCATGAGGGGCTTATCCGTCGAAAATGGCATACCTACTTCCATAGTCTCTTAAACAAGGAGGGGGGACAAGAGCATTGTACTGTGTAATTTGGAGCTCTCCGGGAGTTGTTGTGACTTTGGGTATTGTAGGGTGATTAGAGTTGATGAAGTTGAGGGGTTATGCGTAAGATGAGCAGGGGCAAAGTGACCGGGCCAGATGAAATTCCGCTAGAGTTTTGGAAGAGTGCGGGCAAGGCAGGCTTGGAGCGGTCCACTAGGTCATTTAATGTCATTTTTAGAACGAAGAAGATGCCCGAAGAGTGGAGGTGGAGTATGATGGTTCGTGTATACAAGAATAAGGGTGATATCCAAAATTGCAACAACTATCGGGGTATCAAGCTGCTTAGCCATACTACAAAAGTCTGGGAGAGAGTGGTAGAGCTAAAGGTGAGGAGGAGTGTATCTATTTTCGAGAACCAGTTTGATTTATGCCAGGGCGTTCGATTACAGAAGCCATTCACCTTGTTAGGAGATTGATGGAGCAGTATAGGGAGAGAAATAAGGACTTGCATATGGTGTTCATCGACTTAGAAAAGGCGTATGATAAAGTTCTGAGGAAGGCTTTGTGGAGATGTTTGGAGGCTAGAGGTGTACATGTTGCCCACGTTAGGTTGATTAAGGACATGTATGATGGAGTAAAGACCAGAGTGAGGACGGTGGGTGGGGACTCAGACTATTTTTCGCTTATGATGGGGTTGCATCAGGGTCGGCACTCAACCCTTTTTTGTTTGCTCTGGTGATGGACGTACTGACACGCCACTTCCAAGGAGAGGTGCTGTGGTACATGCTATTTGCAGATGATATTGTATTGATTGACGAGACGCGAGATGGTGTGAACGCATAATTAGAGGTATGGAGGCAGACCCTGGAATCTAAAGGTTTCAAATTGAGCAGGACCAAGACAGAATGCTTGGAGTGTAAGTTCGGTGACATGACTCAATGAGGGGAAGGGGAGGTAAGGCTGGACTCGCAGGTCATCCCTAGGAGAGGGAGTTTTAAGTACCTTGGGTCTATTATTCAGAGGGATGGGGAGATTTATGAAGATGTCACACAACGTATTGGGGCGGGATGGATGAAATGAAGGCTCGCTTTCGGTATTTTGTGTGAGAAGAAGGTGCCACCGAAACTTAAGGGTAAGTTCTACATAGTGGTAGTCAGACCAACGATGTTGTATGGGGCTGAGTGTTGGCCAGTCAAGATCGCTCATGCCCAGAAGATGAAGGTACCAGAGATGAGGATGTTGAGATGGATGTGCAGGTACACCAGATTAGATAGGATCAGAAATGAGGTTATTTGCGATAAGGTGGGTGTGGCCCCTATTGAAGACAAGATGCGGGAAATGCGACTTAGGTGGTTTGGTCATGTGAGGAGGAGGAGCACAGACGCCCCGGTGAGGAGGTGTGAGAGGTTGACATTGGAGGGCCTACGAAGAGGTAGAGGTAGGCCAAAGAAGAGGTGGGGTGAGGTGATTAGGCAAAACATAGCGCAGCTTTAGCTGACCGAGGACATGACGCTTGATAGGAAGGTATGGAGGTCGAGATTTAGGGTAGTAGAGTAGGTAGTCTAGAGTGTTCATAACAGTAGTATTGGCACGCAGTCTTGCTTTCTGTTTGTAGTAGGTTTTTATGGCTAACCGTTGTTTTCTTTCATTGTTGATCACTTTAATGTCTTGTTGTTTTTATTCTGCTTTTATATGCCTTTTTGGTATTGTCTCTTCTTGTCTATATTTTCATTGATGCGGTGCTTATGCTTTCCTGAGCCGAGGGTCTATTGAAAACAACCTCTCTATCCTCACAAGGTAGGGTAAACCGGTAAAGTCTGCGTACACACTACCCTCCCCAGACCCCACGGTGTGCGATGATATCGGGTATGTTGTTATTGTTATTATATATTATAGTACGGTGAACCAACTCACATTAAGATAAAAAAATAGATTGAGTAATTATAAATGTGGAGCTAGAATACGGCCTTATTGGATCGGTCGAATCCAATGGCTATTTTATCTTAATATGCACAAATTGTTTTATAATTATTTTATTATATATACGTTATAAATTTAATTAGAAGTACTAAAATCACGAACTCATTAATTTCAAATATTAACTCCGATAATAGGTCAAGTTTAATGTATTTTTGGGCTTAAAAAAGAAAAATGTGTTATAAAATCTTTAGTAAATGTGGATGTCCACTACTTTCACCGATGATGTAAATAACCTCTCACTACTCATCATTATTATGATTGTAACTCCCACACCTCCATTACCCCTCCTCATGATCTTCCCCCATGATCTCAATTGTTAATGTCATGCTTAAGACAATCATTTTGTAACCTTCTATGTAATAGTATAAATAGAGGCATGAAATGTGATATGGAATACACTTGAACACTTGAAAATTAATAAACTTATCTCTTCTTCTCTTATTCTATTACTTATCTTCTTGTTTTATATTGTTATTTTGAGCTACATTTCTTAATACGTTATCAGCACGACTCTAGCTTTCTCCAAAGTTAAGTGCAATTCTTCATCCGAAAGGTATAACACGTTATCTTCTATATTTTTTCTCCTCTTCTTGCCATTTCTAGTGGTATTGTACTGTGTGAATTAAGTCAAACAGTTATCATGATTAGTGATCACTACGAATCAATATGAACCACACTACACTGTGGCAAACATGATAGATTACTTGTTATTAGCGTTATAAGCCATCACCTTAAACCTATATTATTATCAATATTTTGTCTTCATTTATAGAAATTGTTGTTTGATATAATACATAACTTTACGTTCTGAAATCTGCATAAGTACTAATAAATAGATTAAGGTCATCATTTCCAATATATGTATTATGACAGCACAATTTAAACATTCATAATGTTTATATCCATTTATTTATTTTCATTATTATGTTAATCATTTCTAATTTATTTATATTCTTTGATAGTTTTTACTATGAAGGTGTTTGGCTAAGCTTATAAGCTGGTCAAACTAGCTTATAAGCATTTTTCGGTTTATCTACGCATTTGGTAAAGTTAAAAGTGCTTATAAGCCAAGTGCTTATAAGTCAAAAATAAGCCAAAAGCCATAAGCTGGTCACCCCCAACTTATGAATTTGTAGCTTATAAACACTTTAAGTTTGACCAAGATTTTTACTATTTTATCCTTAAAATATTTCTTTTTAGAACAAAACTCCTACATCGATACTCACCGTCTCAAGTATTCAACCTAAATTCCCCGACCCCCGACCCCCACCCCACCCCACCCCCACCCTCCACCTCTTCAAGTCTGCAGTTCTCATTGGCTATTTAAGATAAGCAAATTTTCTATTTCTTTGCATACTTATATCTATGTGATTGTGTATTAATCTTTGAACTGTATGTAATAAATGAGGACATATCAAATTTTTGGTGTATTTAAAATAAAATGACAAATAGAATATTTTGTATTTGAATCGATCTGGAGTCTAAAAGTTTGAAAAATTACGCCCTTATAAGTGCAAGTAGTTCTAAGGTTATTTAAGTCATTTTAATAAAAAAAGAGCTTATCAGCACTTTTTTATCAAATACTGCAGCAACTTATTATCAATTTCATCACTTGTACCCAAACACGTACCTGCTTATTTATTAAATCAGTTTCAGCACTTAAAAGTACTTTTCAGCACCTAATGCTTATCAGCTACTTCAAATCAGCTAATCCAAACGGGCTCTGTGTCGAATTTGTCAAAGCTTGAGTTTGTGGCACTTGACATTTGTGGAAAGAATGATTTATCATGGGTTCTCGATGCTGAGATTCACTTAGCCGCTAAAGGCCTTGGTGACACTATTATTCAGGGTAATGAGGCATTAAGCCAGGACAAAGCGAAGGCCATGATTTTCCTTCGTCATCATTTGGATGAAGGTTTGGAGGTTGAATATTTAACAGTAAAAGATCCACTTGAATTGTGGACTGACCTGAAGGAAAGGTATGATCACCTTAAGGCTACGGTATTGCCAAGGGCTCAATATGAGTGGATGCACTTACGGTTGCAAGATTTTAAGATCGTAAGTGAGTATAACTCTGCTGTATTTCGAATAACTTCCCAATTTAAATTATATGGGGATATTATGAATGATGAGGATTTGTTGGAAAAGACTCTTACGACTTTTCATGCCTCAAATATGGTATTATAACAACAATACCGTGAAAGGGGTTTTAAAAAGTATTCTGAATTGATCTCATGCCTTTTGGTGGCATGATAAGTCTGGAAAAAGACAGAATAATAATCATGTCCATATGAATGTACGTGGGCATGGCAATGGTAAGAGACGATATAATAGTCGTCGCGTGGTGGTCATGGCAAACGAGAGAACAATATGGGTTCTCAAAACAATCCTTCAAGAGGCAAAAGCGGTAACTGCCACCGTTGTGGCATGAAAGGTCATTGAAAATTGAATGTCGTGCACCTGAGCATTTTGTCAGGCTTTATCAAAACTCCATCAAAAGAAAGGCAAATAGTGTTGGAGCATCTTCTGCTAATGCCCCAATGGAGTCTCACTTGACCTTTAAAAATGATTTTGAGGCAGGGCCTTCAAACAAAAATGATGACAATGCCGAGGCAAATCCTGCTTTGAATGATGATGATTTTCAAGGCCTCGATGATCTTACTCATTTGGAAGTTGAAGACTTCTTTGGAGGTCAAAACTAAAGTTTGATCATTTTACCGGTGAATGCAACTATGTTGTTATTTTTATTTTAGTATTTTTTTGTCTCGTTCTAAAGTTTTTATTTTCAAATAGTACTTAAGTTGTCTTATGTTGTTATTGGTGTTGTTAGTTTTTCCGTATTTTTCATGGTGTACTTTTATTTTTTTATGAAGAAAATAAATTTCCCAGTCTTCAATTGGATCCAAGATGAGTAATGAAGATTTATGCCTTTTGGATAGTGCTACAACTCACACAATATTAAGAGAAAAGAAAAAATTTCTCTTATTTGGTTATGAAAAAGGCCTATGTTAATGCAATATCTGGTAGTACTATGTTAATTGAGGTCTCTGGAAGAGCAGCCTTATTACTACCTGGGGGAATGATATTAACTATTGATAATGCATTGTATTGTAGTAAGTCTCAAAGAAACTTGTTGAGTTTCAAAGCTATTCGCCAAAATGGCTACCATGTTGAGACATCAAACGAAGGAAATGTTGAATACCTTTATATTACTATAATAAAAGCGGAGAAAAAATATGTGCACGAAAAATTACCCGCATTTTCTTCTGGGTTGTATCACACAAACATTAGTGTGGTTGAATCGCATGCCATAGTAAACAAAAGGTTTACTACTTCTAATGACTTTATCATTTGGCATGACCGGTTGGGCCATCCCGGTTCTAACATGATGCACAGAATAATCGAGAATTCAAATGGGCACACATTGTAGAACAAGAAGATTCTTCAATTTAAAGAATTCTCTTGTGTTGCTTGTTCTCAAGGAAAATTGGTTATTAAACCATCAGCAGCTAAAGTTGGGATTAAATCCCCTGCATTTTTGAAACGTATACAGGGTGATATATGTGGGCCTATACACCCTCCATGTGGACCATTCAAGTATTTTACGGTCTTGATAGACGCATCTACAAGATGGTCACATGTGTGCTTATTGTCAACTCGTAATAAGGCATTTGCGAGATCGTTGGCCCAAATAATAAGGTTAAGAGCACAATTTTCAGATTATGCAATTAAGACAATTCGTCTTGATAATGCTGGTGAATTTACATCTCGGGCCTTTACTGATTATTGTATGGCCATTGGAATAAAAGTTGAGCATCCGGTTGCCCATGTTCATACTCAAAATGGTCTAGCAGAATCATTGATTAAACACCTCCAATTAATAGCTAGACCATTGCTAATGAGGACAAAACTTCCCCTTTCAGTGTAGGGACATGCTATTTTGCATGCAGCAGCACTTGTGCCCATAAGACCAACCAGTTATCATGAAGTCTCCCCATTACAGTTGGCTTTTGGCCAGGAGCCAAATATTTTCCATCTAAGAATTTTTGGATGTGCGGTATATATTCCAATTGCTCCACCACAACGCACAAAGATGGGTCCCCAAAGAAGGTTGGGAGTATATGTTGGTTATGAATCTCCTTCTATTATTAAATATCTAGAGCCTATAACAGGAGATTTGTTTACAGCCAGATTTGCCGATTGTCATTTTGATGAATCAGTTTTTCCAACATTAGGGGGAGAAAATAAACAGCTGAAAAAAGAGTTAGATTGGAACGTATTATCTTTATCTCATTTGGATCCTCGTACAAATCAATGTGAATAAGAAGTTCAAAAGATAATTTATATGCAAAATGTTGCAAATCAATTGCCAGATGCATTTACTAACCTTCCACGGGTTACTAAATTGCATATTCCAGCTGTAAATGCTCCAATTCGAGTTGATGTCCCGGCTGGACAGTATGATAATGTAAATGAGTCTAGGCCACGCCTTAAACGTGGTAGACCAATCGGTTCCAAGGATAAGAATCCCACGAAAAAGGAAAGGAGCAATTGATCAAGTTAATCATAACATGGAGGCAATTGCTCAAAAGGAGCATAAAGATATAATAATTGATAAGACCCCACAGGAGGTTCTAGTACCTGAAAATGATGAAAATGAAGAGATCTCAATAAGTTATGTCTCTACGGGAAAAAGGTGGAACCGGAATGATATTGTTGTTGACAATAATTTTACATATAACGTTGTAGTTGAAGTAATGCAACAGGATGAGGATCTTGAGCCAAAATTTGTCGATGCATGTAGACAGAGAAATGATTGGCCAAAATGAAAAAAAACGCAATTCAAGCGGAATTGACTTCACTCGAAAAACATGAAGTTTTCGGACCAATTGTCCGAACGCCTGAAGGTGTCAAGCCAGTAGGGTACAAATGGGTTTTTGTGCAAAAACGAAATGAGAAAGGTGAAGTTGAAAGATATAAAGCACAACTTGTGGCACAAGGGTTTTCGCAAATGCCTGGCATATTGATTATATGGAGACATATTCTCCTGTGGTAGATGCAATTACTGATGATACCCAATTTTTTCCTATATATTTTAATATGCAAAATACTTTCAAAATAGCATATGCATGCATATATAAGTATGCCCAAATGTTTTATTATTTTTTCTTAATTTTTAAAGATTTTTAAATCAATTTATTGCCCTATTTTATCCCTCAAAATCCAATAATAATTTCCAAAATTATTATTTTTGATGATTCATTTATTGGATTCTCATATTTATGCTAAAATATAGCTAAGATAATTTTTGCATATTTTTACAAATTTATTTAGTATTTTTTTAAGCTAAATTGCATATAATTGCAATATTAGTCTCTTTTAAGATCTAATTGCGTTTATAGTTATAAAAATTAAGCCCAGTATTTTAAATTGATAATTATAAATTATAAATTATTTTTAATGCTTTTAATTTATTTCCAGAAATTAATTTATTATTTTTATAAATTAAATAGGGGAAAATTGGCTATTTAAGTTATACCCAAATTTGGCTTTCAATTGTGGCCAAAATTGGACCAATTCCCAGCCCAATTTTTATTCTTATAACCTAATCACCCGACCCAGACCCTATACACGTTTACCCGACCCAAAAAAAACCATCAGATCAGGACCGTTGATCTAACTAGAACTCTCAAACCTAACCCTAGACTCCGTCAATCGCCTCCTTCCCCGGCCACCTCCTTTCAACCTGAAGTCTCCAATGGGTCTCTCATCGCCTTGCTCAACATCTCTAAGGTCCTCAAGGCTACTGGGCCATGTCGATTTGGACCTAGGGTTTTCGGTTCTGTTGTTCGAGGCTTCTCTGGTGTGATTTTGGGCAAAATCACACCATATGTGTTACGATCTGTGAAGTTACAACAGGTTCTTTCAATTTCTATTTGGGTTTCCTTTTGAAACCCTAACTCTCTCCTGAATCTCTCAAAACGGTGTTATTTTTCATGCTTTAAGCATGTTTTCTTCTATGATCTGCTTATTCTCGAGCTTCTTCTGAAGAATCATCTACTTTGAACCGTTTTTACTTCCTTTAATAGGTCAAGTTTAATGTATTTTTGGGCTTAAAAAAGAAAAATGTGTTATAAATTCTTTAGTAAATGTGGATGTCCACTACTCCCACTACTTTCATCCATGATGTAAAAAACCTCCCACTACTCATCACTATTATGATTGTAACTCACAAACCTCCATAACCGCTCCCTATGAGCTTCCCCCGTGATCTCAATTGTTAATGTCGTGTTTAAGACAATTATTTTATAACCTTCTATGCAATAGTATAAATAGAGGCATGAAATGTGCTATGGAATATAGTTGAACACTTGAAAATTAAGAAAGTTATATCTTCTTCTCTTATTCCATTATTTATCTCCTTATTTTATATTGTTATTTTGAGCTACATCTCTTAATAAAATGTTTATTTTGACTGAGCTTTCACCTACTATTATCCGCCCAAAATTGAGAATTTCAGAACATTCGGGGGCCTTCCAGAAGGCCCATAGAACTTTCACGTCCGATTAAAAGAGGATCAGAATTCTGCAGTAACAACTGTAATGGCGGAAAAAGCAGGAAAAAGAGGAGTGAATAAGAGCATAGAGAAGGTGTGCAAAAGATGCAAACAGGCATACTCTCCCCCCTCTAACCACCCAAATTCATGCCGTTTTCATCCTTCTTTTTTTGTCTGTCGCCGTCATGACGATCAGAAAAGGTATCTTACCTTTTTTTGTTTTGTTTATGTAATTCTTTTAATCGCTTTATTAATAAAACCGTTGCCTCAAAGTGATCAGATTTATGCTCGCTCTTATATATCAGTTGCGTATTATTTAAACAATCAATTGATGAATCAACTACGTGTCATTTCCAGATTAGCTGCTGAGTTGGTTCGCTCTATTTGTATCAATATCATGCTAATACGGAATAAATTTATCTTTTAGGGCAAATTAAGGGCCAGTTGTGCTTGTGATATCACAATTACATCATCGCTTTCTTCTAATTGCATACTTTGTTTCAGCTGTCAAGCAATGAGAATAAAATTAAGGAGCAACTGGGTTATTATGAGGCTAAAGTGCTAAATTGGAATTGGTTTCTGTTTATCAGTATCTTTAGTATATCAGTTTTACAACATTATCAACTGGCGAAATGCTTAGCCTGGTTAAATTGTTTTAGACATGATCAAAGGGTAATGTAAGCTTGTATCCAGAGATTTAGATAGAACTCGAGCATTGTCCAGTTACTTCTTCGTAGGAACACAAAAGTAATTCAGTTTTCAGTGCACCCAGCTGAAAGAAAAATGTGTACTTTCACATTCTCTTTGACCAAAGTGTTGCCAAAAACTCGCACTCAAAGGTTCATTTGCAGTGTTGTTTATTATATGGATCAGGTACTAGAGTGAAAATTCTGCATAGCTTTGTATCATTGAGCTAAATTTTGTGCGAAAATAACATGAGTCAAGTTAAATTACCTCTTCAGTAAGGTAGCTTTAACATTTATTGCCAAAGAATTGAATCCTTATACTGCCAGTATTTAGCTGTGATGATTTTAAATTTATAGAAAAGAAGTAAAGAACTATTAGGGGGTTGAGAAAAATGTGGGTTGTAGATGCTAAAAATTATTTCAGATACTTTTATTTTACAATTATAAATGAATCAGGAGTAAACGTCAAGAAACGCATCGCTGTAGCTTTTGAACTTGTGTATATCTGATTGGTTTTCATGTTTGGTACTAGTGACCCATTATCTACAGATCCATCTTTTGTACTTCTTAGCCTTGACCTTATCATATAGAGATCACTGCTTTAATCTCTTCATGTTTGTATCTGTTCCCCCTCCCACTACTGGAGGAACCCCCACCAAAAGAACTTTGTTAGTTCTTAGAAGACATGACTTATAGCAATCTTTATGTATAAGTGTCATTGCAATGCTTAGGATGAATAAGAATGGATTTCACAGATCTCCCAAAGTGACCACTTTAAGTACTTCCATTGCAACTATTCCGTTTTACCAAAATTTCACATTCAATTCCATTTGTTGGTATCACTGTCTATCTAGATGAACTTCCCTTTTTTGACAGGACTCAACAAACTACCCTCTTTTTTTGAATAACCATGGTATAAGCATCATGTGACCTTAATTTTTCTTCTGTTGGAAACATCTATCATTTTGCTGCAGCCTGCTAAATATATAGTCTACCGAAACAAGCTTTGGAGCAACTTAATATATTGAGTTAAATAAAGATGGAAGTTTGACGTGAAAGAATAAAAGCAACTATTTCAATAAATTTATCCGTTAAGAGACTTGTAATGAAAGAAGCTAAATTCTAAAATAGTCACAGTTAAACCTGTAAAGGCGTAAACTATGTTTATCCTATATGGCAGCATTTAAACCTTTTGTTTTGGCTTCATCTAACAGCTTCTGTAAATTTCATTATAAAATAGTACTTTCACGGCCATAGAGTAATAATATCTCCTCAGGTTGGGAAGGCCCCAGATTTTCATTTTCCTGGTGACTGCTATCACATTCCAATCAACTCATCTTAGGTGCCCCAGCGTTTTCATCTTCCCAGTGGCTGCTCATAGAGTCATAGTAAAGCAATGCTCATAGTAAAGCAACTCTGTTCATTCATTAAGTATTACTAGTGAAAAATTCCTCTCACACACAATTATGGAAGTAGTATATTTTGCTTGGAAAGACATCCAAACTTTATTGTAGGGGTGACAAATTAAACCCAGACCCATCCAACCCGCCCTAATTTAATGGGTCTGGGCATAATATATTTTATCGATGGGCTAGCCCAAAGCAACCCATCAAACAAATAGTTGCCCAAATTGAGCTGTGAATTAGCCCATTGGTGACCCGTGTAAAAAAAGGACCTGGGGCTGGGAAAGGTGTTTCTCCGGAGAGCATGTGAAACTAGAGCACATGTCCATTGAGTGGGCCCCGCTTCAAGTTTTAACTATTAATACTATGTGTTTTGGTGGATGTGTCTGGGTGCACATTCACTTTTCAGTTCTTTCTAGGTACTCAGGTAATTTATCCACTACAACATTTTAGCATAAGATCTATCAATATAAACTCATAAAAAGCACCTTCTTTTATAATAATTGTGTCTAATTTTTTAATTAAATCAATTTAAATGTGGATCATATAATCAATTTAAGTAATTGTAATAAGAATCTGAGGTTCTACTAGTACATTAGTAATATGTCTAGATGTTTCATAAATTAACGAAAAAAAATGTGTAGGTGTTTCATATTAATTACTGGATTTCATAGGCTTGAATGGGTAAATTGTTATTTTTTGCGTTTGTCAGTTTATGTCTTTAAATTATCAGTTTTTTAATATATACACATTCTTGGTTTAAATTCGTAAGTTATGATGTATATGTTTAGCATATGTAGATCGTTTAGTAGGAGTCAAAAAAATAAATGGGATAAGGTTTCTTATCTTCATATTAAGTGAGCACTTTGAAGCACTGGTAACGTTTTTGCAAATCAATATCAAATAATGATCTCTAACTTCTTGAGAAACAAATAAGTGCCACTGCATATGTATTTACAGTTTTTTGTCATACTTTTTACCAAATTAATGTAATTAAGGATCTTATAAAGTGTATTATTTTAGTCAATGTAAGTAATTTGAACAATGACTAATTCAAAAGTGTCGTTGAAAAAATACTCAAAAGTTGGGTGAAGTTAGGCGGGTTGGGTTGTAACCTATTGTTTAGCCTATTTTGATTCAACTCATCTTAGCCCATGTAAGCTTTGGATAGGATTGGATAATGACTCATTTCTTGCTTCAGGCCATTTTGACCCGCCCAAACTCAGCCCAGACCATCAATTTGCCACTCCTAATAATTATACTAGCTTGATGCTTCTCATACGAATGCTGGTTATATACCTGCTGTTGACAAAGCCTTGAACAAGAAGTGCACATATAATGAAATGCTTTTCTCTGAAGAGCATGGCAATTCTGATTTCAAGATTATCAAATCTAGAGTGTCACGGAAGTGGAGATGAGTCTAATAACCTAAATAGTTGATTTATGTGCTCGACTCTTGGATGAACTTGTAAACATTTTTATTCAAAACATGCTTGGTTTGTGCATGGGACTTGTAATTGTCATCGGCAAGTTGGGTTCAGCATGATAGTTTAGGCATGAATGCTTCTGTGAAGTTATAGTTTTGCCACTTCAACAGCAGAATTTGCCTTTATGTTGTGGGAGTATATCTTTTTACTTTGTTCTAGGAACTTGAGCATTTCCATTATCTCACCTGTAGATAAAGCTGCTGAAGTCTTCACAGCAAACTACTTGACACTGCATCTCGCTTTATACAATTTTTCATTGTAAAAATTTAAAACGGAAAAGAAAAGGAAATTGGAAAAGCAAAAAGACATTCGATCAGGATACTCATACTGTACAGGAATAATATGCAGTCAGCTTACATTGATATCTACCCCGGGGGTTGCGGAAGGCTCCTGGAAGAATTTCACTTAGTGTAATCGTTGCGGAAATAATGAGAAAACATAATTGAAAAGGAGAAGATGAGTATGGGATGACTTTCGTCCTGCCACCATCTATATTGAACAGTAAATTAGCTGTTAAGTATTTGCTAACAAGTAAATTGTACAACTTACTTTCTATATTTCTTTTCTCTATGGGAATGGTATTTCTAAGTTTACTTTGGTGATCTGATCATATATCATGCAATATCTTTCTGAAGGACAGTTTCTGCCTTCTTTTCGATGTAGGTATTACGAACTAGGACCAGATGATCCTCCTTATGCTGCCAAATTTTATGACTGCTGCGGCGCAGAAGATCCTGAAGCAAGTGGTTGTACCACCAGTTTCCATGTTTCATATGATGATGAGTAGGAAGATTCTCATGGTTTGTTATGTAACCTTTCTGTAAAGTAGAAACTGTATAAAGACAATCTGCATTTCAGAACATGTTTTGCCCTTTGATCTGAAATGGACAATCTCCACATTGTCTATGTATCCTATACAGAGAAATGATAGTTGACGGTTATTTTGGGGATGAGGTGATGCTCAGCCTTACTAATAATCGAAAGGAGACAGTACTAACTTTAACCATTATCTTCTTGGTTTAACAATAATGCCAAATCATATCACCACTTGATATGATAAAGAAGTTAGTTAAATGTAATATGGTTGTTGACAACTATAATGAATAAGCATAATTTGGTGGATCTAGTTTTTGAACTTTTTATATTGTTTAATTGAATCTAATTGTACTAAGTTCTTTGTTGGGTAGCAGGTGCAAGAGCCAGCTCATTGGAGATTCCACTGCACAAAATAGTTATAGTAATAGCTCAGTTTGATCTTGTCACAAGTTGCATAGCTGTATGTGCAGGAACCAACTATACACAACATTCTCAAATTTGCTGGTCCAGCCATGAATTGTCCTTCAAAACTAAGTTAAACATTCACATATGCTTATCCTCCTTTTCTTTAAATGAAGTTGACAATTCCCTTGTGGCTGTGTTCACCTATTTACCCAAAATAAAATTTTGATCCATCATATATCTAATTTAGGAGTAAATAATTTTTAGTACAAAAGATTTGAATGGCGACAGCAATCATAAATAGTTGAGAGAAGGATAACATGCGTCCCACCAATTGAGAGAGACAGTGAAAGGCTATTTGTGGCGTGGTACACCTTGTCTTAGTCTGTCCCCACGTTTTAGCTTTACCTTTTCTTCTCTAGTTTATTTTATGGTCAGTGATTGTTGACTCTCGAATCTCTTTAAGATTTTTTTATTGATAAAAGGTTCGTCCATTACTTGTACGTACTTTAATTATACCATTGAGTAGTATTATTTGTTATCTTCCATCAATACTGATATTGGATACTCAGTCCACCAAGATTTAGGCCTATGAAAAGAATTACTGGAAAGTTTTCTCCGTTATTTGAACTCTTGTTCATGTTGCCTAGTACACATAAGACTATGGTCTAATGGTCAATAAAGAAAATATTCTTTTTAAGAATTAAACATCCTTTTGGTATTAATTTTTCCCTTTTCTATAAAACTAAAGAAAGAGATCTTGATTTCATTGTACTAGTTTCTATATTATACAAATCTGAAAGGTATTAATTCCACAACTAACGTCCTCGTACCAGGGACGAAGCTACATGTTTTGAAGGGTGGTCATTTGTCGGGAAATTACACTGCGTATATAGGTAAAATATTAGATTTTAGAGGTATATATTGAACACTCTTTGTCGGAGAATTTTTTTCGCTTCTTTCAAGTTTGAACACACTTGAGTAAATTACTGGCTTCGCCACTGCCTCGTACATAAGTTTAATTTGGTGTAATTGTTGTTGGACACAAAAAGCCGATTGCGAAGAATCGTAAGCTATAGAATGAACTAATGTTAAATGGAGTTTAGTGCACAAATAATGTTGAGGAGGGTAAGATGCACAAAGTGAAGACCTTAACAGTGTTTACTCTTCAGTCCTGAAATATTGATTACCTTAGCAATGAAAAAAATAAATTGAAATATGAGAGCACATTTTTTATTTGTGTATATAATTTACGTAGCGTTTGTCCAAAATCTAAAAGACGAAAGAAATCATATGTAGGACTAGGAGTGCATGTTACATGTGGGCAATCAATAATTGTCATGGAGGCAGCACATTGTAGTATTATTATTATATTACATTTGCACCAAGACCGGGGGTTGGGGGTTGGGGGGGGGGGGGGGTGGTTTACATGTTCGCATCAATTAAAATGAAGAAATTTAATTTGTTGACATTGCTGAAAAAATATTTCGCACACTAAGCCAAATTTGTATTAGAAATGAAAAATTGGAAACCAAAATAGTGTCTCGTTGTAAAAACACATTAAGGATACGCATATTTCTCTAAGCAAAAGTTGTTCATGAGCATGTTTTTGGGAACACAAGTGTCTTTCTTTGAGTTCTTGAAATTATTAACTCCTTCATTCTACTGACCACAAGTTTTGATAAGGGGTGACTCAAGAGAAAGGGAAGGCTAGTAAATTCTTGAAATTTTTACATCCTATAGCAAAGCTTAACACCTTATTTATTTTAAATAAATATCATTTAAAAAAAATTATATTCTATAGATACCTTTTAATGTTTATAGCAAAATATCTAATTTTGGTTACCTCCTACCCCTAATCCACTAAATACGCTATTCAGTTACACTATTTTCTTTCTCTCTCTACTTTGATACAAGCCATTCTCTTCCCCCATTCCCTGAAAATACGATGCTCAATCTCAAAATTTCTCTCACCCACATCACCTACCATTAGTCACAAACGGTGATTTTGCCTGGTATACCACGAAGACTTCTCTTTCTCTTTGTCTTAATTGTGGCAACAGCAGCATTCACATCCTTAGGCACAACATCACCTCTGTACATCAAACAACAGGCCATGTACTTCCCATGACGTGGGTCGCACTTGACCATCATAGACGACGACTTAAAAGCAGTGTTAGTAATTTCTGCAACCGAAATTGAATCCAAAAGGAGATGAAGCCTCCGATCGGCGCGCACAACACAGCAAACCCACGATCCTTTCTCAACTTCTGTCATCTTCAATACAAGATTCAAGCTTTAACAGAGTCCTTATTCTGCCACCAGAACTCATTAATGTCTTGCCATGATTTTTGCTCGGCTATTGTACAAGATGCGTGCGAACAGTGAGATTCAGGGTTTTTGCTCGACGGCGGATTCGCCGGAAATTAGGGTTTGTTCTTGAACAAAGACGACAGAGTTTGGGGCTGAGCAAATTGATTTTCTGTTAATATATTTTAATATTTTTTCAATGTATCACGCTGTATTTTCATGTATTTCATTGTATTCATTGTCTTTTTTTTTCATTGTAATCCAATGTATCTCGCTGTATTCCATGTATTTCATTGTATTCACTATCTTTTTTTCATTGTATTTCAATGTATCCCGCTGTATTCTATGTATTTCATTGTATTCACAGTCCGCTATACGCCATGAATGTATTCATATATATATATTTTAATTAATATAATTTATGTATTCAGATATATTATATAATTTCTCTGAAGATTGCTATATTTTTGGGGTATTTTTCGGTTGAGAATTTTTTTTATAACTGGAAATACAAATTTTGTATGTTATAATTGGGTTTGTTGAGTTATATTAGGAGTCTATTATGTTAATTGATTCACTTTCTATTTAAAAATAGTGTAATCCCCTGTTTCACGCTGTGAATACAGTCGAATACAATAATCTGTCCAGCTGTAATCCCATGTTTCACGCCATGAATACAGTCGAATACAACAACTGATTAGCTGGACTTCCCTGATTCACGCCTATTTTTGCTACCGTATTCATGAATACAATAGCTTAAATACATCTAATAGATCTTATAACAACAGAAAACGTATCTACAATCCGTAATATAGCAAATCGTATCTATAGATAGCTAATTACCACTAAAAGATAGTGTTTTATGAAAATTTCTCTAAATTCTTTGCTTAAGGCCCCAATTTTTTTTTAATAATATATAATTTATTATTTTTTCGCTTAAATAATAATGAATCCTATAGATTTAAAAAAATATGAAATATTTATTAAAAAAAATAAAATTGTCTTCTTTTTCACGTTAGGAATATTTTAAAATTTTAAATTAAATTACTCAAATCTTCATATTAGTAAATAAGAATTTTGCAATAAGATCCTAGGTAATATATTGCAAATATATGGCTAATATCTTATTAACATGAATTTACATTTACTATAATAATAATAATAAAAATTACTACGTGAAGTTATAAACTTCGTGTCTTCAAGACTACTATCTTATAAACAAAACGAAAAAAAGATAACATTAAATTTTTGTATATTTATATTCAATCAAAAATTTATGATTGTAGGCCTATTAGGATGTTCTCTTATTCAAGAATGGGAACTCCAACATATGACTTCTTAAAGAATTCCTTAAAAATGAAAGTATAAGTTAAAAGTACTTTACTTTTTCTCATATTTTCTTTTCTCATACTTTTGTTTTAATTTAATTCTTTATTTTTTGTTGATTAAATAGAAATTCAGGGTTTTCAAGGTGAACCTGTCATATCTTCATAAGCATTCATCGCAAATAGATGTTAGTGACATTGTGAATGTAAGTTGTTATTTTTCTAATTTTAGTTAGCCTTGTTTTTACTTAATTTTTTGTGTGAAATATTTTTATCTTTATTGTTATTTTTTATTTTTTGTTTCTTTTAAAGGGTATCAATCAAAATTAAAGAGATTATACGTTTAGGATAAAATTTGAGAAAAAGATGGAGAAAAGATGAAGAAATATATTGATGATCCTGTAAAGGTGATTAACTACTCCGATGGTATTTAGACTTGATTTTGTTAGGATAATATATTGTATATTAATAAGACTTAATCATTGTTACAGGAATAATGATAAGCTTGATAAAGTTGGAAAATTTTTAGGAAATTAGATTAAAGAAGTGAAGAGAGATACCAACGTGGTATTTTAAATAATGAAAATGGATATCTTGATCAAGATAATGAAATGAATCAACTTATAGATGATGTTGTTCGTGGAGATTCTGCTAATCGTTTGGGTGACAAATAGGATGAACATGGAAAAGATGTTGATTAATGGAGGCAATAAGGAATTTGAGCAAATAGCACCTTGTAGTCCAATGTCTTCAGTCATGAATATTGAGTTAGTTTGTGGAGGACAAAATAAAGAAGGCACTGATGGAGGTGCAGCAGCTGGTGAAGATTTAGCGAAAGGACCTTCATGTGATAAAATAAGTAGAAAAGTACAAATTATACTCCCAATTGAACTAGTTCTCGCAAATGGTACAGATGTTGACGCTATTATTCAAAAAATAATTGATGGGACATATGAATTGTTCACACCTCACTCCAGTCAAGATATTTTACAAAATAGCGCACATGTGTATTCTCATGGTAGCGGACCAGATGTTCTAGCATACGGTACAAATGTCGAATCTATTATGCGCGATATAGCAGATTGGAATATAGTTTTGGATACACCTGAAGAGGAACAACAACTTTCTGCATCAAACATGAAGACACTATCCTCCCCAAAAGAAAGAGAAGCTGATTCTACTAGTCTAGCAACTCTTTTTGATATATGTGCACAAGAAAGTGAAGGTGCTCTCAAAGAAAAGGAAGAGGTGTTGTTAGAAAGACCACCTATTT